TAGTTGATTTGTTTTCTAAGCAAAGCCATTTTATTCCACTTCCATCTCTCCCAACGGCCCAAAAGCTAGCTAAATTGTTCTTTCACCATGTCGTCCGTCTCCATCTTTTACCTACTAAGGTGATATCCGACAGGGGGTCTCAATTTGTTTCGAAGTTTTGGAGGGAGGTGATGAAAATTATGGGGGTGGAGCAGGGGTTAAGTAGTGCGTACCACCCAGAAACCGATGGTCAAACAGAACGCGTAAATCAGACCCTGGAACATTATTTACGTTGTTTTTCTAACTATCAACAAGATAATTGGTGTGATTTACTGCCTTTAGCTGAATATTGTTATAACAACACACTGCACAACTCGATTGATATGTCACCTTTCAAGGCTGCTTTGGGTTATGATGATCCTCCTTTACCATTTCTAAGGGGAGATACTCCTCTTCAATCTACTGATGCTGGATTGTGGTGTAAGTCTTTGCAGGAGTCTTGGCCGTTGTTATGTTCTACTTTAATTGCGGCCAAAGAAGCGTACAAGATTCAGGCTGATCGAGGAAGGGTGGAGGGTTGGGGCCTCAAGCCTGGTGATTTGGTGTATGTTTCTACGAAGAATATCAAACTCCTGCGCCCTAGTAAAAAACTGGGTTGGAAATTTATTGGTCCATTTAAAGTACGCCGTGTTTTGAATAATGTTGCTGTTGAAGTTGAATTGCCTAAGAATTTAAGAGCTCTACACCCTGTGTTCCACATGAGTTTGCTGAAAAAGGATCCTGGTCCCTGTGCATGGAGGCCTACCCATGCCCCTCCCCCTCCCATCATTTTGGAGGGTGAGGAACACTTTGAAATTGCTGACATTCTTAATTCCAGGTTGAAACGTGGTAAACTTTGGTATCTCATCCAGTGGGTGGACTTCGGACCCCAGCACCACGAATGGGTGGAAGTGGGGGATATTCGGGCCCCTTATCTGCTCCAGGAGTTCCACAAACGATTCCCGGGCAAACCGGGAGGTCTCCCGGAAAATCTCCCGGGCTAGCCGGGAGGGCTCCCGGAAATTCCGGGAGGGGGTGGTTAATGATTATTTTTGAGGGGGCAGTATGTCAGCTAGCTGCCATTGTCATTCCGGTTCCTGTTTAGTATCCTTCTTCCCATCGTTCCTTGTTTTCTTGAGTTATGTTTTGTAGTCCGCGGAACTCGCCAAGGTCGTGCAGCTGGTAGTAGGACGAAAGCTTCGCCTAGAGTGTTTTGGGTATCTAGCCTGTGAACTGAACCTGTGTTGATATTGTAGAACTGTTAAGTTCCCATGCAATGGGCGCGAATTATATGTTCTATTCCCGCCAGCGGGAAATGGGCTCATTGGACCTGACCTGGTTCAAATGTCTATATTATGCCTTCCCTGGTCACCTGTAGTTATTCCTAACAATGTCCTGTTCTGGTTAAACTAACGCTTTGAAATAAACCTTGCTTTGTTCTTAAACGTGGAGTTATTTTGAATGCTTGGGATCCAACAAAAGGCCAGTGGTTGAGAGGAAAGGTTGTTTCGTTTTCCATCTCCAATTCCAAAAATTAAAAGGGGGGATTTAAAACTTGCAATCCTCATTGAAACTTGATTAGAATGGGGCCCACCATCTTGGTCTCTGGTTGCCAGCCAAGAAGGAGCCGGGAGGCATTTAGCAAGGGGGGGGGGGGGGAGGCAAGGCTTACATTTCTGGCTGATGCCAAGGTAGAGGAATGACTCTTCCATTTGTTTATAGAGAACCATGTGGCCAATGTTGGGTTTAAAGTTAATACTGGCAATGAATCCTTCCAGCCTTTTTCTGTCACTATGATTCAGACTTTTTCCCTGCCCCTTTTGCTGCTAATGACTGTGACATTCCAAAGCTGGAAACAGATTGATGGTCATTAAGGACCATTAAGCGCCTTTTGTTAAGGCCCTGATCATTCGGCAGGGGTCAGGTTAAGCAACACCACAGGCCCCCTTTGCAAGAATCCAGGCTGCCATCCTCTTGATGGGGATTGGGGAAGTCTCCTTTGTGGATCATTTTTGTTTTCGAATCTCTCTCTGTGTGAAGTTGCTGAACCTATTGCAATCAGACCTGCCTTCAGTTTAAAAAAATAAATAAATATGTGGGGTGGGTGAGGTCTCTGCATGCAGCAATCAGCTGCAGAGATATGATGTGCCGTGTTCTTACTTGTTGTTCTCGTTTTGGTCATACCCTCTCTGAAATTGTTGCACAAGATAATAAGAGCTGTAGAACAACCATTAGATGTGACTAGCCCCTTTCCACCTCCACGTTTCATACCAAGCATAGTTTTTAAGTGATGTGCCCTCCAATATTTTACAGAGAAAAACAGGGCCACTTCTGTATGCTTGTAGGTTAGAACTTTATTCTCTCACACCATTGTTTATTCTTGCGCATCCTCCATAAACACATATAGACATTGCTAACAGTTAGGGTTGCCAACTGGCCAGGAGAAATATGTCCTGTCCCTTTAACAGAGGCTTAATGTCTGGAAGTGGGCAGCTGAATCTTTTGACTGAATGAAGGTAAATAACTCATCATGCCCAGGCACTGGGGGGCACTACAGCCCTCTAAGTGCGTATAGGCAGGGGTCATTTCCTGCAGGAGCGCACAGGAGCGGAGCTCCGGCAGTAAAGAGCCCATGGGGCGGGCACATGCAACAAGCCCCGCCCCCTGCTCCCAGCAGCCCCAAGCCAAGAGGAGCAAGAAGCAGCCAGGTAAGTTGCAGAGCCTCCCCCCCCCGCCTGTGCTGAGGTGCAGAGCCTGGGGAAGGCCTTCAGAACCCCACCAGCCGCCTTTCTTGGCACCTGCGGGGTGGTGGCAGTGGCAGGGGCTTGATTGGGGGGTGGGCCATGGGGGATCTGCGAGGCCAGATCTGCGTGTCTTCCCCCAATAGCTAGCAATCCAAAGCAGTCCAGGGGAGCCTGAGCGGTGGGTGTTGCCTTCTGACACACTTCCGGTGATGTCAGGGGGCGTGGCACATGCAAATAAGTTATGCTAATGAGCTCCTGCACCTCTTTTTCTATGAAATGACCCCTGCGTTATCTCCTTGAATGGGTTGCCTCTCTTTGTCTTAACCAGGGAGCTGCCCTCTGGCCCTCCTTTTTGCCCTTTGTCCTCTCTTCACATGGCCTTGCATGGAGACACATGTCTCTGCAGGTCTCTCTGTAGAGACAATGCTCTCACACTCCCCACACACGTGATGCCAGACAAGCTGGCCATCGGTGATCGGGAAAGTCCTCTTTAGATTAGGCATCTTTCTCTTCTGTTGACTGCAACCAGAATGTGAACTGGATCTCCTTGAATAAGTGCAAGTTTACCTTCTCTTGCAATATACTTTTTGGAAGATTTAGTTACTGCACTCAGTGTCACACTTCTATGACTGGGCAAAATTTTGCTCTCTTAACCAAATCTCCCTACAGTAGCATCAAGCTGGTATTTGTTGCAGATCAAACTGATATTAAAGGGACTGCTAAAAGGAACAGTTTAAAAGTTGCCAACTCTACGAACAGTTCTGCTCCACCTGCTATAGATACAGTTTTTGTTTACTCTGCAACAGCGCATCCTCTGTGTATGTTGTACTGCCAAGTCGCTTCCAACTTACGGCAACCCTACGAATTAATGTCCTCCAAAATGTCCTAGCATGTCCTGTAAGTAAAGGTAAAGGTAAAGGTTTCCCTTGCTCGAAAGCCAGTGGAATCTGATTCTAGGGGGTGGTGCTCATCTCTGTTTCCAGGCTGAAGAGCCAGCGCTGTCCAAAGACTTCTCTATGGTCATGTGGCAGCATGACTAAATGCCGAGGTGCATGGAGCGCTGTTACCTTCCCACCGAAGCGGTACCTATTTATCTCCTTGCAATTTCTTGCTTTCGAACTGCTAGGAGCTGGGGCCAGACACGAGAGTTCACTCCGTCATGTGGCACTCGGGTCTTGAACTGCCGAGCTACAGACCTTCCGGTCTGCACTCGCTCCTAAAGTTCGGGGGTCAGACTATATCAGTCTTTTAAAGGACAGTTTTGGCTGAGTGTGAATCTAGTTTGGATCAGATCCATGCAGACAGGGGCTTTCAGCCCTTCTTCTCGACCTTCCACTTTCCCTATGGTGTCAGGGGCCAGTAGGGACAATGCCACACACTCTCCTGGGCAGCCCTCATTGTCAAGCCCGGAATCCACTAGGCCCAGTGGGGCCACAGGCACCCCCTATAGAAGCAGGCTTGCCAATCTCCTCCTATTACAATAGATCTCTAGATGACCCAAGATCAGTTCCCCTGGAGTATACTACCTTGGAGTAGGATTGGTAGCCCCCAGGACCGGGTGGAGGTTCCCCCATTTCTGGGGGCTTTAATCCACCCCTTGTGAGCTGGTGGGCAGGGGAAGCCCTGCCCCCAGCGCCGCCCCCTGAGAACGACCACCCGCCTGGCCACCCGTCTCCCTCCCCTCTTGCCTGATTTAAAGAGCCACCGGTTAAAAGACCCTTTAAAGGTAAAAAGACCCTTTAAAAGGGGGCCATGGCACGTGGGGCTGGGGGAAACCAGCTGTCTGGAAGCTCCACCCTGGGGCGGAGATGGGGATTGGCAGGGGAGAGACTGGTGGCACCTGGAAATCTTTTGCTATTACAATTGATCTCCAAATGTCCAAGATCAGGTCCCCTGGAGGAAATGGCTGCTTTGGAGGGTAGATTCTATGGTACCTCCCCTCCACCAACCCCACCCTCCCCAGGCTCCACCCCCAAATCTCCAGGTGTTCCTCAACCCAGACCTGGCAATCCTACAAGAAGGGCGACCCAAAACCATTAAGCAATCCAGATAGTTATTCAGCCTGCGGTGGGGTGTGGGGAGTACGTGAAAGAAAGCTTGTGCGGTCTGACATGAAGCATCAGTAAGAAACGGACCAGGGTGGTGCCTCCCATCTTCTTGCTTTGAGCCCTTGAAGAGACAAGTACGGGTGAAAAAAGGCATGCCACTTTTAGCCAAATTCAACCTGTAATCAGTTACCTGCAGAAATTCGCTTTCCAGCATGGGAGCAAGCTTGAGTAAGTCGTATTCCCCATGGTGAAGGTGGCGCTGCAGGGGTCCCATCTGCCGGTTGAAAAGTCCTTTGCCATGGTCACCTCTTGCCAAGAAACTAGGCAGCTGAGAGCAGGACTGGGAGCGAGTTTGAGACTGGGAGACCGACATCCTCCTGGGCCCTAAACCAACATGTTGAGCAATTAGAGGAGAAGTGCCATTAGAGAAGTACGAAGGACTTGAGTGAGTTTAGCCCAGATCCTGCATAGCTCACGGATTGGAGCTTCCCAGTGCTCTACTGCAGCCAGAGACTAGAACAAGATAGTAGACTCCTCGACTGTACCATTCAGGGCCACAGAAGGAGGTTTTTGAATGCCCCAGTGGTCACCTAGGTTGAAGGCTGGCTAAACCCTGGTTGAAACACCACCCTTTCCTCCCCCTGCTGTCTGAAGTGATACAACCTGGAGGTCTACTCCCTTGTTTCATTTAAATATGGATGCTGGCTCTTATAGGTAAATTATTGTATCCCTGACTCAGGCTGTGGTCACACGTGCCAGTTGAAGCGGAGGGGAAGTAAGGCTATTCCCTCCGGAGGAATTTGACACACAGTGGCGAGACCACACCTCCCTTTGTAGCTGCAGGTGCAACCCGTCACTATGTGATCAGACGCCACTGCAGGCGAGTCTCTCTTTTTTTGGCCATTTGTTTCCCATGCGCATAAACGAGGAATCGCACCTCCGCACTGAGGGCCCCCTATGGAGTATGCAATGATACGCATACTGGGTGTGGTTAGACGAACCGTTTAGTCCGCTTTCAGCCCGCCTCAGAAATGGATTTTATCTGCACGATCACACAGTCAACCTCTGCCTCCTGTCCCCAGCCATCACTTTCCGGCTCAAAACCGCTTTAACCTGGAGTATTTTGATACCAGGTCCCCAAGTGGTGTTTTCCTGATTCTCTGGTTCCAGCCGCACTTTTCTGACGTCTGATCGCCCCTGTGATGTCGAGCCACTTCCGGTTTAAACCCACTCCCTGCTCGAAAGCTGCCCTAGGCTTCCGCTTTTTGCCCACCATTTTTTTAACGCGTTGGTGGTGTGCGCATAGGCGGAGCTCCACCACCGTGTTATTAAAAACAATGTTTAAACGGTGCCTAATTTTAGCATTTAGATGAGTTCGGGATCTCACGGAGGCCATTTTCGGGGTAAACGTTTAAAGGGAAGTGTTCCTTTAAAGTTTAACGGGAAGTGTTACAGCAGTCGGGTTGAAGTGGAAATCGCTGTTCTGCGCACGTGCAGAAATTTTAGTTCTACAGATGGCTCCCTGTGCGAATGCCCAAACAGAGAGAGAGAGAAACAACACTGATGCATGCTCCCGCGTGTGGACGGCAGGGAGCGATGTGGCTGTGCAGCAATCCGGAACAAGGAGGTGAGTGTGATCGCCATTCTCTAGATTAAAAAAACACACATTGGGGCCGGAGCAATTTAAACCACTCCCAGCACGCCGTCTGACCGCACCCACTGTGAAGAGGGGGGAAAAACAGCACTGAGCTGGAATGGCCTGATCAGACCATCCCAACGGCTTGAGAGCGTGCTTGAGTGATCAGACAGGGGAAAGTCCATCCATGGCCCGTCAGAACCCATTGACTACCGGACTTTCCCCCATGTCTTTTAATTCCGCTTCTGCAGCATAGGTTGCCGATGACTGTGGGAGGCTTCCCAGATGTTGCTGTCTGATCGCTCCCTTTAGATCTGTCAGGCGTTCACACCTACGTCAGATCTGTCAACTGGAGTAGCAGAGGGTGTATGGCACTTTGGGTTACTCTGGTAGTGAGTGCCACTGCAAAAAATGGCTGCCAAAGGGCAGGAACCAGTGACAAAATGTCTCACATGGTGGCCTGATTCGATCAGAAAAAGTCGATAGGTTCCATAAAACATTGGCGTATCCCTACTCTGATGGAGGCAGGCGTTTTCAAATGGATGCTCCCTTCACACATTAAGATGGTGCCTTTTGGGCTGTGCTTATTCCAGTGAACCTCTGCTTTGGGGAAGAAGCAAGTGCGTGTCAAGAAATGTATCAACCGGTGCCATGATGGCCCTCATGCTGGGGATTACTAGTTCACTGTTCTGACTGGAAATACTTTTATTTGGGCCTTCTAGCTTCCTCCCCCTACCCACCCACCTACTGTTTGTAGCTCTGGGATAAATCCCCCTGCCAACTGAATGTCACACCATGCATTCTGATGAAGTGGTTTCTGGCTCACAAAAGCTTATGCCACAATGAATCCCTTAGTCTCTAAGATGCCCCAAGAACTGTTGTCACCCTGCATTCATCATTCTTTGCCTTCAGGCATGTTGTGACGTGAGTGAAGCATCGCAGTCCAGATGCCACAGATGCTACCGCATTGCTTCTCACAACGTCAAGTGCGATGCCCTTCACTTGGGTGCCACAGAAATAAATTGGGGTGGGTGGGTGGGTAAGGTCACTTAGAGAGAACTCTAGACCTCTTGCTGACTAGTTAGCAGTGTGTATGTGGGAGGGTACTTTAAAAAAATCAGTAAATTTAGGGTTGGGGGGCAAGACCCCCTCCCCTTCCTTAATCAAATGGCATATAAGTGTGTATGAAACAGCACCTAGAATTCTTTAGCAAGGGAAGGGGTTTGAAAGGAAGTATGAACCCAACTTTAGTCTTCTGTGTAGGGTTACCAACGGCAAGCTGGGAAGTTCCTGGAAATTTTGGGGCGGAGCCTGGGGAGGGCAGGGTTTGGGGAGGGGAGGGACCTCAGTGGCCTATAATACCATAGAGTTAGGGTTGCCAGGCATGACATGGGAGATGGGGAGAGGTGGGTACTTACTGCAAGGGGATTGCTGCTGCTGCCGCCATACAGTGACGTCACTTCTGGTGTGACATGGAAGTGTAGGCATCATGCCAGGGTGACGCTCTAGCACTCCCCCAGAACGTTTTTTGGGGGATACATTACTAAAGCATTGTCCTGGTTCAATGTCAGTAGGGTTGCCAGGTCTGGGTTGGAAAATACCTGGAGACTTTGGGGGTGGATCCGGGAGAGAGCAGGGTTTGGGGAGGGGAGGGGCCTCAGCATGGTACAATGCCATAGAGTCCACCCTTCAAAGCAGCCATTTTTCCAGGGGAGCTGATCTCTGTCAGCTGGAGATCAGTTGTAAAAGCAGGAAATCTCCAGGCCCCACCAGGAGGCTGGCAACCCTAAATGTCAGTGCTTCTGTGACAGAAGTTATGTCATCGTGCGGCAGTGATAATTACTGCCACTCCTTTTGGCTGGCCTGTTTGCACCCACTGACCAGGTGAGCGTTGATGAGCAGTGGTCAAAATTGCTAGGGAGTTTGCCCACCATAGGCTGGCACTTCTATAGAGTCCACCCTCCAAAATGGCCATTTTCTCCTGAGGAACTGATATCTGTAGTCTGGAGTTATAATTCTGCAAGATCTCCAGGCCCCACCTGGAGGTTGGCAACTCTCCGTCTGAGTAGAGGTGTTGCAAACTCTGGGTTGGGAAATTTCTGAGAAGAACCTTTGGTTCTTGAGGTTTTGGTGACCCCAGTGTTTGCCCCTCTTTCTTCTGAGACTGACAGGGAAGAAGAGTTGTAATTCTTATCAATATCTTTCTCTAGAGAACAGCTGATATCGAGAGGACTTTTGTAGCCTCAAATTAGAATCTGGGTAGTCATTTGAGGCACCCCTGGCTACCAAAATATCCATTCTCTGCTCCCCCCCCCCAAAAAAAGTGGTGGCTTAAATTGAGACTCACATAAAGTCTTTTTGTAGGTTGTAGGTCCTTTGCTCTTCACGGCCCACCACAAATGGCCCTGGGGCTGGACCTCCTCAGTTGACGATTTTGCACTTTTGTGATGTCACCGTTTTCCTCTATGACCTGTCTATACTAAGCAGTGAAGGGTGACTTAAGGGGCCAGGGGGAAAGGGGCACCTTTCTTTGGGAAAGTGAAACCTGGTCTTCATTTCTGGGACACTTGGGTTCAAGACGAGAGCTGGCCGGGGTTAGCAGTCACAGTGTCAGGCTAAGCTGTGAGAGACTCAGGTTCGAATGGAGGTGGAAATGATGTAAGTGCCTTTGGATTCCCCCTGGGAAGACATGTGAATAATATATTTAAATAATCAAACATAAATAAAGATGCGGGCAGCAATGCTCCCTCTAAGCTGTGGAGTCTTGTGAGCAAAATTTCTACTTTGTGAGCTACTGGCATTAAAGTTGTGAGTGAGTGATTTGGCTATTGCATAAATTAGTTTGTTCTGGAGCCCTCCTCCCTGGGCAAAGACAAAAACATGTGAGCTGGAGGCTAAAAAACTGTGAGCTAGCTCACACTAAACTCAGCTTAGAGGGAACACTGGCGGGTTGTGAACTCTGGGTTGGGAAGTTTCTGAGAGCTGGGGGTTTGGAGAGGAGAAGGCCCTCGGGCAGAGTACAGCGCCAGAGTCCACTCTCCAAAGCAGCCATTTTCTTTGGGGGAACTGATTTTTGAAGTCTGTAAAGAATTGTAATTCTGGGAGACTTCCAGGCCCCACTTGGAGGCTGGCAACCCTGAACCCTCCTAAACCTGAGAGTCAGTGTGATGTAGTGGTTAAGAGTGGTGTGGACTCTAATCTGGAGAGCCAGGCTTGATTCCCCGCTCCTCCTCCACATGAAGCCTGCTGCTGGGTGACCTTGGGCCAAGTCACGGTTCTCTCAGAAATCTCTCAGCCCCATGTGCCTCACGAGGTGCCTGCTGTGGGGAGAGGAAGGAAAGGTGACTGTAAGCCACTTTGAGACTTCTTAAGGTAGAGAAAAGCACGGTATAAAAAACTCTTCTTCTTTGTCCCTGAATGCTACAAAGATGTTGAGCTTGATTCATCTTTCAGATTAGGCAGGACTCTCTCTATAAGTTACTTTATTTGCTTCCTTTATATCTCACTTTTTTGTCCCAACAGGAACCTAAAGTAGCTTGTAATGTTCTGCTCTTCTCCAGTTTATCCTCACAACAGCCCTGTGAGGTAGGTTAAGATGAGAATGTGTGGCTGGTCTAAGGCATCAAACTGCCACAACAGAATGGGGAGCCAAACCTCCCAAATTGTATCCCAATACTCACTGGAAAAGACCCTGATGCTGGGAAAGATTGAAGGTCAAAGAAGACGGGGACGGCAAA